GACTGGATGCAGATTAAATCCTAGAGAGAACACTCACTGCTTTTACTGTAATGCTTTAGCTCAAGAGTTGTCTCATGAAAATAAGTTTTCCGTAAAATAAACGAGAAGTTTTCAATCAAATCAGCCTGGTCTGTGGAAGGTGTCCCTGCCACAGTTAGAATTTTGGGCTAAAAGATATTTTTATACATAAATATGTATATTTGTGTGTGTATATACACACTCCAAATCCCAGAAGGTTTCAGGTGCTTTTAAAGGTTCTATTCATGCCCAGGTTTGCAATAGTAAGCTTTTTTTTTTTCTTCCCCCCTGAAAGTCACTGCACGCTTTCTAAATTTAACAGCACATCAATGTTTTATGACAGATTTTAATCCCCGCTGGAAGCAGAGTATGTGCAAAAGGCTTGGAAAAAAAAAGGAAAAAAGAGTCAGGCACTTGGGCAGAGCTTGTCAAAAGCTTATCTGAACTTGTAAATCCTTTGAGAGTTCCCTTTCTCCACAGGCTTTAACTCTATCTCGGTGTCAGTACAGGTTTGAAGTGCTGCTACCAGGAAAATATGAATTATTTGAACWGAAAGGCCAATATCTAATCAATAATCTTGAATAAGATTTTGTCATTCAGAATTTTTTGGGCTCTGAAGGCACAGAATGCTCAGTCTGACAGCCAGTGATGCCCCAGGTCTGGGCTGGGATGGCTGGAATTCCACACCAGAAATCCTGGTGGGAATATTAACTGTAMAGAATACTGTGCAGCTCCTCAAACAACCTAAACCAATAATTGTGTATTGGTAATTAACTGCAGTCATAAAAGAGAGCATTACTGCGGGGAAATTTAACTTTTAGCAACTGGTAAAAATCATCAGAAATTATGCCAAAGAGTAAGGAACTGTATTTTCCTATGACAACCTTATTTTTTTTGTGAAAGAAATCATTTAAATGTGTGGGGTAGGATCAGAGAATACCAAACTAGAATTACTTACCACATGAAGAATTTTATTTTCTGTTTCATACACCGTACAATCCTGAAAAAAAAAGACAGAACAAAACTAATTAAATGAATGTCACATTACATTTTCTATTAAGAAATGAAAGAAGGGTTTATGCTGTTAACAATCTCTTGCATATTCCTGAACTTCTTGATTAGTTTAAGCCTTGTTACTTTTARAGCAGTCATTTTCCTATTTCAGTTATCAGAAATAGATAAATACTAAGAATATTGAATACATCTAAGAATAATCAATCTCATCACTCCATAATTTCAGTGTCACTACACCTTTACCTTGCTTTTTGATTTAGTGCTATTACAGCGCTAAAATGTTGCTTATTTTGGGGCTAAAATGTTGCTTTTGTTTCATGAAACAAACCCTAGGAGCTGCTAAAAGRGATTCCTGCCTCTATTGTTTATTAATGTTTGAAATTTCCCTCGGAAAGTTCCCTCTGGGAATGGGGACACAGCCATGGTGAGGTTGTTTTAACCATCCCCTGCAGCCCTGCCCCACCTCCTYCTGCCAAGCACCACTCCAGATCTCAAGTTATATTCTGCTAAAGCATGAAATAAAAAGAAAAATACAGAAAATTACTCTTCCAGGCAGAGTGAGACCAGAACAATCCCACCAAGTCTTGGTTCAGTCCCCAGCCAGGCTCCCTCTCCCCTTGTTATGTTGGGAAATTGCTAAATCCTTCTCCAAGTGCTATTGCACATTGGAAAGGCTTTTTACAGAGCAAATTTAAAAAATTGTCTTCGTTATTTAGTTTTTTTTCCTTGAATACACCTTCAAGTACAATTTAAATCACTGAAAACCTGAAAGATCCTTTCAAGTGACCTGAGATTGCCCCAGCTGGCCAGARCRTGGTGATGGCARCACCAAGGYTGGGGTTTKGATCTCTCTATGGAYTTCATRAACYTTGTGGGTCCCTTCCAACTCAGAATATTCTGWGATATCCCTTCAAGCAGCTTAARAYTCCCTACAGTTCTCAWRATTTCCTCTTTTTACTGGATCCTAAATTAGCAGCAGGAGTTAATTACTTCAGATCTCCCATAAAACAACTCCAAAGCACTCATTCCCTTTGCTCTGGACRCTCAGTTTTGGGCAGGGACACCCTCTGGGCACTCTCTGCTCCCTTTTTCCAGCATCCCAAACCTTTGGCTGCTCTTACCCAGCTCCCAAACCTCATCCCTTGGGTGTCCCTTCGAGGATATTGTCCCCAAGCCCATCTGGGACAGCTGCTCGGAGCTCTCAGCCCCTCCCTCTGCTCTGAAGGTCAATATTTATTTTGGAGGATTGCTGCTTCCGTGGAGAAATTGATTTCTAAGTGGCTACAGTTTAAGGAATATTCACTGCAGAATGAGGAAGTCAAAATCAGAAGATTGGGAGCACCGTGGAACACAGAAGGATTCATATTAGCATTTCATGGTCAAGGATGCCTTTGATGTTCCCTCTGTTCACACTGTTATTTTCTGCAGCACAAAAAAGAATTCAATTAGTCAGTTTGGCTGGCAATGCCCAAGGCAGTTTTCCTTACAAGTTTTGCACACTTCAAACAGCTCCTCTGCCATCTCCTTTTAACCCTCCACGTGCCAGGAGAACAAAACCATCRCAGCAGGGCTTCCAGAGCTAATGCTCCTTTCTAAATTATTCCTTTAATTTCTGTGCTAGAAATACAATGAGAGCCTCCCTTCCAACAAACTTAATTACTTCAGGTCAAAGAACAGAAGAATTTTGTGTAGTAAAACTTGAATTTTACTGTTTTGTAGAGCAGAATTAATGTTAGCTGTACTTATGTTGCACATTCAAGATTACATTAGCATGAAAAATGTTAATGGCTTTGGGATTCCTTCCAGAATAGATGCATAGTGACTTTTTTTTTAAGTACATCAGACTAGTTTAACTGAGAGGTTAAAAGCACTTGCAATGTTATACTAAAGTATTAAAATATGTAGGTCACAATATTCTTCTGATTTATTTTTCYCTGATACATAGTAATGCACGAGGGATCTCATTAAAAATATAATCTTCCAGGACTACCATTTATAGAATGTTGATCTATTTTTCTTAGAAAATAAATAATGGTTACAGTCCCATTCTTTCTWCATTCTCTGATAGCAAGATGACAGGATAAAAATGTTTCTTCTCAGAGTTTAAAATAACTTTAAAAAAAAATAAAAAATCAGTGACTGTTTTATTTCCCCTCTCTAAAAGGATAAAATACAGGAATTACAAAACCAGTCAGAGCAGCAATATTGCAAACCAGGCAAGGACAGCACTGTCCTGAACACCCCATGTTTGAGAGGGGCAAACCACCTTTGTCTCCCTGACAAAGTGAAATTTCTCTTTTGAATATTCATCACGAGAAAAGGTCAGTGGGACTCACCCACACTCTGATCAAAATTTTAATTTCTAATTCTGAAAGAAGGAAAAAATGCAAGCACCACAGAAATTTGCAGATACCATAAAGAATGTTTTATGGTGAGCTCTTGAGGACAGTTAACTAATGCATAAAAAAAGTAAAATATTTAGTTCATTAACTTAGTTCAATACAACTGTGTGAGTTTAGTCAACTACTGAAAAGAAACTCAGATCCTATAAAGGAGCAGCTTGGAAGAGAATTTAAAAACTTTAAAACTCTGTAAGTTATTAAGAGAACCTGAGGTTTTAAATTCTCTTAAAAACTTAAAGAGAGCTTGGAAAGAACTTAAAATTCTCTTGGTAGAGAACTTTTAAGTTTAATTCCTCTGAAAGAGAAATTAAACTTAAAATGCCAGCTGAGTGACATTTCTCACCACAGCACTGCTGGAAAGTCCTACATCCATCTTTGAGTGGTGGAGACGACAAAGTGACATTTCAAAATACATTGTTTACATGCATAAAATTAAATATTTCTGAAATTCAAACCTTGAAAAGAAAGAGATTGTTCTGAAATTAGGCAAATGTAGAATGGCAAATACACTGAACTGACTGATTTTGGTTCCAAGGTAGAGACTTGACCATAACCTATTTTTAGAAAAGAGTGAACAGATGTTTGATAAAATGTTCTTTAGCAAATGCAAGCAAAATAAGATTGAGGGGCTGAAAGCTGAAGTCTGCAAAGTTCAAACTGAAAATAACAGCCAGGGTTTGCATGGCAGCTGCTGAATCACGGAATAACTTGGGTGGAAGGGACCTCTGGAGGTTATCTGGCCCAACCACCTGCTCAGGGGAGGATCATTTAAAAGTTACTCCAGGTACAGGAATTTACTAAGAAACAACAATTGCTGTTAATTGCAGCACTTTCCAAATCTCTTTCCAACACAGGAAAAGCCATGCTTCGTCCTAAACACAGTATTTGACTAAAAATAGGGCAAAAATCCATTATAAGGGGTTTGAATTTGTCTCAGTGAGGTTAATTAGACAGTAATAAAGGGGAGAAAAAGCAAAATTTTGTTTGGGTTTTGTCAGAAAAAGGCTGAGTGGTGCTGGCATCCTTTGGTAAGGCACAGCCACTTTTTGTTGAGAGGAAGTTTGTCCCTGCAGGTTAATGAGTGCATCCAAAACATCTGCCTCAGGTTTAAACATCTTTGACATGATGAGGAAAAATTAAAACCCAGCTGCCACTAGGGCTGGGGAACTCTTCCTACTCCATGAAAAATTCACCAATGGCTATGTTTTATGAACAAAAATTCAAACCTATTCTTCCCCAGTTGCTCCAGTTRTCTTTSCCTCGGGGCAGCCTYGGTGCTAGAGGATKACAAAACCCAAATTTGGTGGATTCYTTCTGAGARCAGYGAGGAGAGTGAGTGCACCTTSAAATTGGAGCTGTGACTCAAAGKGAAGTCAGCAAGCTCAAACATCTCAATGCCCTGTTCTAACATGCTTTTTTGTGTGTTATAAACACATTCTGATGGGACATTGCACCTCAAAATCAGGAWATTTCTGCAGCTYTCTSCATAACACAATTCTTTYAKARAAGCTTGRTGAARGTGATCAAAARGGGTTAAGAAAACTGAGCAGAATAAAGTGCATTTCCAAACACARATGGAGAACTGTAAAACTCCTCTAAAATTAGAGAATAAGGTTTTGTTTTAGCCATCATGAGAAAATGCTGTTTAAAGTTAAACAGTGACTCTTCATCATAGCATTTATGTGGTATGCAAATAATAATGCATTAAAATAAATTTGATCTGAGGTTATGTCCCTCAGATCATACAGGACATCCATGGAGATTCATAAGCAGTTTCTAWATTAAACTGAGGTTACAGGGCAAGGTCTCCTGTTAAGAAAATTCACCTGGAGTGGCAGCTCCAGGTTATGCCCACGAAATGTTTATTTTGCAGAAAACATTGAAGACATTCCTCACTTAATGTGCCAAATCCGTACCCTTCACTGCTACTTTCACACTGACTGGATTAGGTATTTAAAATGTGTACAATTCATAAAACAAGGGGTATCTGAAAGRATCTGAGCTCCAGGTTTCTATTAGTTCTGCCTTTCAATTCACATTTCAGCCTGCAGCTGAGCCTGCAGTTCTGGTTTAGGTGAGACATTTMTGTTTTCACACATTAAGGTCAATTTTCCTCAGATTTAGTGACAGCAAAGCTGTCTTTCTCTCTGACTGATTTGGTTTTATCTGCTCTTTSTGGTGCTAAAAGTTTAATATAACATAAAAAGATCTTAATAGAYGAGTAGCAAACAAGCCAGATCTGAAAATAAGGTAAAGACAAAACTTGATTTGTAACCTGAAGAATTAACTAAACATTTTTCATCTTGGAATGTCCTGGAATTTATGCTAAAAGATTGTTTTCAAGTTGTCAGAAGGAGGACAGCTTTGGGACTGGAGTCGAAGAACTGGAAAAAACAGAACCAAACTCTTGTTKGGTGGAGGAGAACAGGATTTCATCTGCCAAAATCAGRGAYRTGAAYGACAGAAGKGGAGACAGAAATTCAAAATTACCCYATTTTCACCTGGACCACAGGGAGAAATCAAACTCACCCAAACAAAGTGCAATATCAGCTGAAGGACAGACTCAGAATCTGAACTTTTTATACTGTAGAGAAGTTCGTTTTGCTTAGTCTGTAAATCAAAAATAGCCTGGTGCCATAAGCACCTTGTAAGAGAAAGCTTAATAAAGATACATAAATAATGAAATGCCGACATAGGGGTTTCTAAACTGAGAAAAGGGAAAAAGGAKCTTTGTTTTGTGCTGCAAAAATGCATAAAGGACAAGATTTCCAGGAGGAATAAAGCTGAATATTATAAATTAAGGATAGTAGTGTAAAATACAATGACATATTTATAAGCTGTAGTTCTTTCTCTCCAAGAACTGAAATAAAATTGAAAAGGAGGGGGAAAAAGGGGTTTTCAGAACTACTACTCCAAAAAGCATTTGAAATGAAGTGAATTCTGGGGTTGGTCTGCTGGGAGGGAATTGTGGCAGCACAGGACAGAAGAAGGCAGAGGAGTCCCCTGTGTTGGAAACAGGCCCAGCCTAAAGTCCTACAAAACTGGAGCTTTGTCTGAGCTTTCTTCTTGCTTTTCCTCCTTCCTCTTTCTCTTTTCCTTCATTCCAAATCAGCCTTGCCTGCCCTCTGACCTCTCCACATGCACCAATAACACCCTTTTGTCTCATCAATATTTTATCCACTCACAAGGGGAGAAGCTCACTGCAAATATTTGTAAAACTAATTTGCCCTCMGTCTTTCAGTACCTGTGTGTCACCTCGTGTCTTACTTCAGGGGCAGACAGTGCCAGAGAYTGTTATTATAWTATTATATGATATTATTGRGGTCAGAGCACCAAGCCTGAGCTCAAGGAACATTTGGAAAATGCTCCCAGGGATGCACAGGGTRGGATTGTTGGGGTGTCTGTGTTGGATTTGATGATTCTGGTGGGTCCCTTCCAATTCAGAACATCCTGTGACTCCATATATTATATAGAATTAAGGACCAGATCCATTATTTTATGTGCTTGTGGCCTGTCCCATATTACAATTTCCTGATGAGTGTCAGTGATGGTAACACGCTGCTCTTACCTGTTCTGTATTTGTTCTGTTTAATGTTATGAATATTTTGTGTTCATCCCTAAACAACTCCCACACCCCTGGCTCTCTTTTCAGTGGAGAAGCCWCAGGGCAGATTCTGGATATATTTGTATGAGTTTTAAGAACCTGTCCCTGAGAGGTTTTGGATCATTCCTGTTTTAATCTGGAATACCCTGTTAGCAGCAGTTAAGCTGTCCCCCACTGTGGCTTTATTCCTTTGTTTGACACTTGCATGGTGGCARATCACCCAACATGAAATTGTCTACTCAAGAGCAAAGTGGATTATTTTTAACTTCCCACCATCCTTCAGTCTAGCCAGGAGGATCACCAAAGTCCAAAAAYCTTCCTGTCACTCCCAGAGAATAAGGAAAGAACAGAGAGGTAGTACTATAACAACTTTTCTAGTGATGTAAAAGCTTTTTATGATAAAATTTACAAATAAAAATTTATAAGCAAATAAATTTTTTTACACTATAGAAATAGTCTTTTTCCTATTGCAGTTTTTAGGCAGTGATGTGAAATCAGAACAGAAGAGCCACTCCTACCTGTTGCACAATGGTTGTGAGTTCCAGGCACAGTTGAACAATGTTGTTTTTCAGCAGTGAATATTCTGTCATGCTGACAAACGGAGACCTGTGATAGGGAGGGACAGGTTTATACAGAATTAGGGAYCATAACTTACCCCATAAGCAGATAAATGTAATACAGGGATCAGTTCTCACCACAGAAATGCCAAATCATTTTAATCTCCAGCAGCAAGCRGCACAACTTTTGTAATAAAGTCACAACACAGTTACCTTTGAAACAAGAAAAGATGCTGGCAGGATGTAAACTGGATTTTGGGCATGACATCAGAAGCTCTCATTTTTCTGAACAGCAGAAATAGGAGCTTTCAAACAACTCCAGATTTCCTTTGTACTGCTCATTAAAAATGTGGCATTTCTGGTGTGAGTGACATCACTGCTCGGCAGCAATCAGCGCCTTAATTCCGAGAGCAAAGCGATTCCTCCTCACTCACAGCTTCCTGCACACTCAGATCTTCTTCAGAAGAATCCCAAATTCTGCCTGAATCTGACCCCGTTTGAATTGATAAGAGCTGACAAGGTCATAGCCGGAGAGAACACGACTGCTGGCACTGGGTTAGGGAGATGTCACTGGGATTACACAAACGCCGTGAAGGAGGGTGATTCACTCTCRCTGGGATTTCCAAGGTGCCATTTATACATTCCTGAGCAGCCAGATTCCTGATAAAGCTATTCACTGCTACAGCTCCAAAGGGAAACGAGCCCTAAAYGCTTTGGTGCCGTTTTGTGTTTTGATTTCTGCCTTGCCACAGTCGCAGAGAKGCTTTTAATCGAATTCTCAGCTCATAAATGTAAAGTTGAGCAGTAACCAACACACCTCTACCCAACAACATCCAGCCTACTCCTGCTAAAATCTGCAATAAGAACATTTAATTTTCAGACTAAGCAAGTTCTATAATTTATTTTGAATACTTTTAACTGATTTGCTCAACTGTAACTTTTTTGTGTCTTTTTGATGGCTGAAAGGCAGCTCAAACTCCACAAACCTCTCTTCCTTGCCCTTCATTCTGAGTTATTTGATAATGTTACCAATTGCTGCAGTGAGAACAGCACAGAAATATTCATTTCACACGAAATCCCACTGAAATAATCTCAAAAGGTAACTAAAGCAAAAGAAAACACTCTCCTGGCAGACAAAGGTACTAAATTTTACCTCCAATATTTGACAAATTTGTAAAAATTTTGAGCTATAATTCCAGACCTGCCATTTTAATATGAGAATAAAAGAGTACGAGACAAAGAAAGAAAGAGACAAAGAAAGAACAAACCCAAAACTCCCCAAAGAATCGTTCTCAGAGCAGTTCATTACCTGTCCAGCCAGGCAAGTAAATTCTTGGCAGCACCAATCAGGTCAACTACAGAGGTAAGGAAATCGTTTGGCAGCCGTCGGGAGGCTCTGCCGTCRTAGTGGCCGCTCCTCCTCCGACCCGTGATGAAATTCTGCAGGTTCTTGGCTGAGGCGTTCAGCTTGTGGGACAGAGTCCTCAGGTTTTCAGTCTCCAAACCGTAATTCTGAGGGAGAGAAGAAGAGGGATGGGGTGTGTGGTGAGATGCGTGGAGCAAACTGTGATGGGAACATCGTGGGAGTGTTTGGGGTGAGATCAAAATGTGGAGAGCTCAATTTGGGACATGCAGGAGGAACCCAGACTGTGACACAACCTCTGCTGTCACCAGCACCCAGCACTGCTCCCATGGGTACTGCCATGGCCCACAGGATTTTGGGCATGATATCAGAAGCTCTCATTTTTTCTGGAAAAATAGGAGCTTTCAAATAACTCCAGATTKCCTTTGTACTGCTCRTTAAAAATACGGCATTTCTGGTGTGCRGAAAGGACAAAAGCAGAAAGGATCCCATGGGCAGAGTCTCCGTTTCTGTTCCATTTTTGAGAGATGCAGGTGAGGTGAGCACTGTCCCCTCTCTGCCTGTCACCCCCTGCCCTGTCCCAGCACCCAGAGCACCCTCAGGTGAGCAGAACACTCCTTCCCCTCCCTGTGAGCCGGGAATGAAGGGGTGCASGGCCCTGCTGAGGGGATTGCACAGGAACAGCCTCTCCTGGCCCTGGGGAGCCGCTGTCCCACCTGAACGGGCAAAGGATGCACAGACACTGCTCCTGCTCCCCACGGCTGCTGGGGAAGGGTCTGAGGACAGAATGTGTGGGAACAGCTGCTCGGGGCTCAGAGACCCCAGACTGGGACAGGGGTTTGTGTTGAACAGCTCTGAGTTGATTTTTGTCCATTGTTCCAGTTCTGATGGGAGGAGAAGGGTTGAATCCCATTAAAGGTTTCCAAACACAAATTTCTCTTCCCTTTATCCACGTTCCTCCATCCATCCATCTATCCCTCCATCCACCCCTCCATCCATCCATGTCTCARTTCTTCTATCACCAAACCTATTCCCCACTTAGACCCAGACAACAAACCCAGAAATATCTCAGCTCAAATAATGAAATCATTCAAATTCACACAGAAAGTCTCAAACACACTGAACTGAACCCTGATTTCTCGCAGCCCCCACAGGATGTGGGATGTGAAAGAATTTAACRAGCATTTAAGCCAAATTAAACCAAATTTAACTCTCAGAGTCTGAACTGATTGCCCACTATTAACTTCAACCATGCTTGTTGTTACAGAGGATGACTGATCATGAAAATCACAGTAATATTTGTGCCTAAACTTCTTCCTCAAAGCAGAGAAGAAAGAACTGCAAAGAATGCTCTTCTTGATGGATGTTAACATGGATATTTGTACTAGAAATAATAATTTTCAACACCAGAAAAGGAAAATATGGTGAGCAATAACAAGCTTATAAACTGAGATTGTGTGGAAGGCAAACAGAGCACAAACAAACACTCACTGAAGTGGTTTGGACCTTGGACAGCTGGACTTTGTCAGCACCTTCCCTGCCAGCCACTCTCCCTGTCAGAGTTCACTCTGAGAAATAAATCAAGGCCTTGATTCCAGCTTGGAAGGAAATCCATGAAGAATGAGTAAATGCTATCAAAAATGAGATTTAAATGCCAGGGAGAGAATTAACTTCATTTTTATATCACACCTAAAGCACTGTGATCAGTCAGTGGGGTCCAGACCTTCCACTTCAAGACTAAATTGCTACAAACGAGTAAAAACTCTCAACTCTCATCCCAGAACCAACACTGCACAGTAGCAACAGCAGCACTAAAGTCATTCTCTTTTGGAAAAGTTTAAAGAGCAAGCTGCGTTTGATATTAGTGTGTCATCTTTTTAATATCACATCTAATCTTGCTTTTATTAAAGCACTGAAGGAATCCTCTCCCCTGCCCTATTTTTTCTCTCGCCTTGCACCCCTGCCAAGCTGATGACCAAATGGGAGCACGGGGATGCCTTTTCCAGCTCTCAACCAGCTGGGCAGGGTCTGGTTTCCCCTCAGAACGAGTTTCATTCTGCACACTCAGCAGCACATTACCAGGATGATGAACTAGATCCTCCTGGTTGCTCATTCCTGTGGAAGCAAGCAGAAAAATCAAACAAACAAACAAACAAACAAAAAAAACCCCCCAAAAAAAACCTAAAAACCAACCCTCCCAATAATTGGTTATTGCATAAAAGCTCTGGAAACCTGTCACTTTGCTTTTAAAAGAAGTTAAGCAGGAAAGGACAGGGTTTGACCACTGAATCTATAAATACCAGAGGATATTTTAGATCCCAGCAAGGGTAATCAGCCAGAGAGATCTTCTCCAGTCACTGGAAAACACAGAGGGCTGAGCAGGAAATGTGTGTGAGGAAAACCACCCAGGGAGCAAGTTCTTCTTCACTTTATCTTGAAGTTTATTGCTTACACGCCAATGACAGCCTCAATTAATATCAATATAAAATTTAAACTGCAGCAAWGCGTAGATAAAACGTATCCATAAAGATAATCAGGAGATGAAAGGAAATTTTGCAGCTCAATAAAAGTGCTGATGCAAGTCCGTGGTTTACCTGAGACTGAGTGAGGCACAATAAAGGGGAAAAAATGAAAATATTATAAAAGTGACCATAAATCAAGGCCTTTATAGAAGACAGAGACAGTGGGCTGTTCYAGATGGAAGCCTATTTAAATGCAAGATTTTAATTTTTAAACCAAATAACTGTGATCAGCTACCAAATGGGGAAAAGGCGGTTAAAAATAAACTTTAAAAGAATCCCCTCATCCTGATGCTCTGGTGCCACCAAACCCCACAGTGTCAGGACTTTCCTAAAGGATTGAAGGAAGCTGTGGCACCTTTTGTGCATCCTGAGACAGCAGCCAAGGTGATGGGGATAGAGGAGATTGTTCCAGAGGAGAAAAGAGCCAGGAAGTGGCTCAAATCCCCCCAAATTTAAATTTCACCGATTTCCATTCAGTGGACATGCCTGAAAACAAAGAATTGATGCCTGAAAATAAAGAACTGCAGTTTCTGGCAATAATTAAGCAGGTGAGGAGCCTCATGGTGTAGAGATGGCAGTGCCAGTGCCCAAATCCCCTCTGAGTCCTGGAGGCATCTCCTCTTGGTGGTGTAACTGAGAGAATCTYGGGGCTGCCAGGATAAATCATGCTCACAGCTGCCAGGCCAGGCTCCAGCTTTCACAGCCACACATTCTGCTCTCCCTGCCTTAAAATATGTGCTGTTATTGCGAGCCACGCCATGGAAATGATGCTCCTGAGCCTGGAAAATTCTGTCTCCTGGCAGGAGATTCGGGTGATTTCTTTCTCCCAYGGTAAATCCTAGAAATAATTTCTTGTTTAAAAAGAAAGGCAGAAAAATAAAAGAAAAAACCTCTAAAAAGGACAAGAGGGTGCCATTAGAACAGGGAGGTGTTTTTTTTCATCCCAAGAGAGGGGAAAAATAAATAAGAAAGGTTTGCTCCATTCCCTGGTTTTGTTTCACGATGCTGCAGGTTGCTCCATCATCATTTTCATCAAACAACTCCTTTAGTGGAAATGGATATACAAGTTCAGGGAATGAATCCTGACTACCAGAACGACCCCAGATGTTGCCTGTCTAGAACCACACAGCCGTGCAATTTGTCAAATTATCCTGAAATCTGGATCAGGGAACTGTCTGATGAGAGCAGAAAGATTCCTGAAATCACCAATGCTCCATTTCAGAAAGAGGGACCTGGACAGGAACATTGCAGAAAGAGCCACCTTGAACACAGAAAAGCATGACTGGTAAATCTGTTCAATATTTAAGTTATTCCACATAAAAACACTGATCAAGCAGTAAGAATTTCTGTATCTCTGCTGACAGCATCRTTACCTGCCCGCTCTCAGAAGAGCTGCACAGATTATCAGATTTGTTCAGCGGCTGATCCCGTGTTTCAGACGGGAGCTCAGCAATTCCTGACGCCCCATTCCATGACAGGAGTTGGAAAGAAGGATTTGGGGAGGCAGAAATTAAACACAAGCATGAGATCAGAGACAGACAAGCTCATTAAGGAGGAACATCATTAGAAAAACGCCAAGCTGAAGCTGTGCTCCAGTGAGATTTGGGTGGAAGGATAACTCTGCTTCCTGCCTGCAGATCTCAGCTCTCAATTCCAACTTTTTCCCTTTAATTCTCCCATTTTTAAGCTCTCTCTGAGGTTGTTCCAGTTCCCCTTTCTGAGCTGCTGTGCTGTGGTTGGGGTTATTGGAGGTGGTGAGGGAACAGGCAGGACAGATCCCCTCTGGGCCTTTCACACTTGATCGGGTTTTTTGAAGAGCAGAAAACAGGTGGCTGTTGTCAGAAATGGTAAAATTCAGGTGACAGCAGCAAATGGCTTTTTTTTTTGAGCAACCTGAAGCAGACTTGTGTTATTCCTAGTGGGGAGTAAAAGACATGATGTAAGAAAGAAGCTGTTTAACACTCCCTATAGTTAAAATCAGAATTTTGGGAACTGAAATATAKGAAATATGCCTCCAAAGAGATATTTAATGCCTCTTTTTAATGTCAGAAACCCAAAATATGGAAATGGCTAAACACAGTCACCATGAACCTTCCTACCCTGTGTCTGTGTCACAGTCCCAGCTACAAAAGCCTACTCATTTTGGCCATTCTGATTTGAAGTTTCATTTTTAAATAATATATTTTTAAAATATTTAAATATATTTCTATTTCATATATATTATATATTTATATTGTCTATATATATAAATTATATGCTTACATATATATTTTCATATTTAAATATATGGAATTTTAATAATCCATTTTAAAATAATTTTTAAATAATTGAGCAAATTCTCTACCTGACAAAACCTGACTTTTTTACATATTCAAAAAAGTGGAATGAAAAAGTTTTCAGCTGTGGCTTCAGGTGTTCTCACACCTTCCTGCAGCTAAGCACTAACATCACAAAGGAAGATTTTATGCAGAAAAAGCAATCTGGGAGAATGTTAGCTACTCAGATAAAATAGGCCAAATTATTGTAGCAAAAAACCAAGATAAAAAATAACAAGTATAGTGAGGAAAAAACAGCTGAGCACTAATCAGTTTTTTGTAAACACCAGCACCCRAAGATCAAAAGCCAAG